CGGTGGAGCCATGGCAAAGCTTCCAGTTGCATTGCGAATGGCCAACAAGCATAGGCCCTAAGCAAGTCTGCATTGTTCAACGTGCTTCCAGCCATATTGCAATTTCGGCAACTACAGTACATAGGCAACCAAAAAACACGTGCGTACTTGCTTACACGGTTTGCGGCTGATGGTTTGGTGACCTGGATTGACAGGCTATGGTCCGCACAAGCAAGTAGTTTGCAGGACTGACACAAGGCAACATGGCTCAAACACGCAGGTATTGGGACAAACGTTGGGGTCTGTAAACCGCAACCCCAGCACAAAGGGGTTCAAAATGCTTGCTGCCGGCTTGGCAATTTCATGATTCAGCGTTCCTTCTCAGCTGAGAGCACCATTCTATTTGGATGGATGTTTGGATGTCTATGCAACAACAGCTATAGGAATCAGACTGGGTAAAAGGTTTCAGCCTGAGCACTTGCGGCCAGGTGCTTGGCTAGTGCTTTCATGTTTTCATACTGGCTTCCGTGGGCGTCCGTTTGGTAAGCGTCAAACAGACCCAGCACCGTAGGGAAGTCATACGTGAGCCCGGCCATTTCTGCTGGGCCCGCGGGCACTAAGAATAGCAGCGATGCCCGCACCGAGCCTACAGCTTTCTCTCAACGGGCACTATGTGTGTGGGTGTGTGTGTGTGTTTTTTTAGGGGACCCCCACAAAAATGTGGTTTCTTTCGTTTTCCTTTCAAACCAACCAAAAAGGTGGTCCCCTAACAAAAGACACCCTATCGCCCCACACACCTTGGATCCTGAAGGGCGGAATGTGCTTGGGGGTGCGTTCCAAATGTCCCCAGCAATTGTATGGGGAACTATGGGTCACATGTTACCATAGACATCGAATACACAGTTCCAAAGATGCAGCATCCTCCGTCCGCCTGTTCGAATGGGTAGGGGTAAGCCCTACACTGACTGTCCACCCACCTGCTGTCTTCAAGGCGCAATGGCATCACCGAATGCTCCCCAGTGGCTTGTGGATCTATAGACCAAATACGCCGGAGACACTAGAGTATGGTGCCAGCACAGGGGTGTTGTTGGGTCCATGGGCCATATGGCAGACCTTGTGGCCAGGCTTTGCTTCAGGCAACCGGTTGGAGTCTGCGCGATGCACTGACATCTTGTATGGCTATGGGTCAAAATCCCGTACCCGCAGTGAACATCCCTCCTAAAATGGGTGGTGCACCTACCCCCAAAATGGTACCATTGGTTTTGACCCACCGCTGAAAGAGCTGAAGAGCTGTCCGAATCCCTACAACTTGTCCGCTGGTGTCTGGGTACACCTGACAAGCTCCGGGCTCCCAAAGTGAGTGGATGTCATGAAGTGACGCGTTGACTAGTTGGCTTACTATTTTTTGCGGATGGCACATGCAATGTGCCATAACCCTCAAGAAAAAACAATGCGGCCCAATGGGCACGGCAGTCCAAAATTGAAAGCTATGATCAGAGGAAACATGATGGCAAGCATGGACATCAGTGAAAAGGAGAGTCTCCATCTTCACTTCTCTAAGCTGCAAGAAGTCCCAATGCATGTTCTTTTCGGAGTCAACAGGATTGCTTCGAGAGCATGTCCAATACAAGTTCTACTTTGTTTTGTATAGCTCTTCCCCTTTTGATTTGCCAAGCGCAAATACTTAGACGCGCCGACAAAAAGGGGCTACCTGGCCAAACTCGTTTGGCGTCAAACCGAAGAATCCCGCGATGTATTTTTTTTGCCCGACTCGGCGACCAAAATCCCAGGCTCAAGTTGCCAAGCTTCAGTGGCAAAACTTGGCGCCCGGACGCCAATAAGGTGCCACGGCGTTTGCTCCACGGCCTCACGGGCTTGGGCCCATGGGGTGGCCACAGGTGGCTCACAGGCAAACACACCCCATGCAACGGAGAGCAACGCATGGAAAAAAATATATATAGATATATATTTTTTTTTTTTTTAAAAAAAAAAAAAAAACTATTCGAAATACCTTGGCCACCCCTCACCGCTCACCGCTCAAGACGTGTACTTATGAAAGCTGGTTAATTGAAACTTTGAGGCCTTTGGCATAGACGTCTTGCCATCCCAGGCTGCTCTCTGTTCAACATTGTCCAACTACGCAGCCGCAGGAATCCACCCAACTGACACAAGCAAACATGGAAGCAACCAGCTCAACTCAAACAAAGTCGCTCAAACAGCGCAAACACAAAGATATAAGAATTCAAACTGCCCCGCTCAACAAACTGAAGCATTAAACACTCCATGACACAGAAACTGCCAAAGATGCCAAAGGGTCTCAAGTCCACCAACTTGTAGACCGACAAAGCATCAACGGCCAACGCTTGCAAGTCAAGCTACGCAGGCTTACCGTCACAAATTCAGCTGACAAACAGCTGTCAGCACAGCAAGAAATCAGCTGGCAACGTGACGAAACAGCAAATGGAGGGAGTCAGGCGACTTCAGGCGACTTGATTAAACCAATTGGCCTCATCGAATCCACCAAGGTGAGCACATGAGTCAAACTGGTTGACGCAGCCAAAACAAACACATTAAGCGAACCGTGCTAAACATACAAAAACACGTTCAATGTCAGCAGCGACTGAGCGCGCATTTCAGCAGCTCATTCAATTCAATTCAATCAAGTCAACCAAGTCAAACCACGACACATACACACAGAATTCAACCACGTAGTCAACAAGCAAATCCGAGTAAGTCGGTCCATGTAAGTCAGGTCAAAGCAGAGTTGTCAATTGGGCCACCTTTGAAGACCGCAACACAAGTGTACAACACGTGAAAAGCAGTGACTGGACCGATCAAACAAATCCTAATCGACCTGTTCACCACGCCATTTGGAATGAACATACGTTACCCGCGGGAAAACTTACCAGCTCTGGCTGCCATGACAACATGTCATGCAGAGAATGGAATTGTTTGAAACCAGCAACTCACGGCGCAGCACCAAATACCTCACAACTGCGTACCAACCAATGCGAGACGAGATGACACAACACCATCTGGCACGACACAACAGCACATCATGGGCAGTGCAAGTCCAAAAGCAGAGTGCAACAAACTAAGCAACACTGACACAACAAATCAGCTTCAGCAACATTACAGCAGGGCAACTCAACTGTGACTCATCACTTCATTCTGGGTGTCCAAGTCGATGTACCAATCACCTCCCCAAAATGGAGGTGTCAGCCAACGCTCAACGGATTCATTTCCTTGCTGTTTCCATCCCCCATCTTGAGCCGCTGCATTGAATCCTTCCTCGCACTGTAATCTGTCTGAATCCGGCTCTGCATCCGTGCAGCCATCCCACTGCAACAAACAACACACGCACAATCAGAAAGTTGCCATCACAAACGATGGGCTGCAAGGCATCTTATACCAGTATACCCCTTAGTTGCTTTCGGATGGTCATTAGCTTTCAATTAGCCCTTGGTGAAGTGAAGATCTGAACACCCGTTTCCGGGATGAAAAACTGACCGTTAGTTGGGTCAATCAGTGGATCAAGAACAATTCCCAAAATAGTTATAGGACAAAGGCGTTCTTGATGCAAAAAAGCAACCCATGTTCTGCCAAGTTGCTGTCGCTTGGCATCTGGGCATTCTCCGATGACCAACGGATGCTCGGTCATGGCAATGGAAAACAGGCCCCAGCAGTTGCCAGAGCTGGGACCTCGTTTAACCGAGCGAAACACTAAACGAATTGCAACTTGTGGTTTGAGCTTTACAAAGCAAGTGTGGAGCTGGACAAATATGAAGCTGGGGGATGCTGATGTCTCTGCCAGAAGTTGCGGGAGTAGTGTGCTGTCCGGTTCTTGATTACGATCATGCTGAAGCTGCTAGGATCTTCCTGTTGAAAGAAACCGTAGCACAGTTGCCCAAAACCTTACGCTCGAACTTCGGCATCAGCGGAAACCAACTCACTGCTACCACAACAATGATGACGTTAAACGATAAACCTCTAGTCTTTGGGGGCCGCTCCCCACAACGGAGCTTTGGTAATCTAGTCACCTAGAATTTTCAAAGCCAGCATGCCGCGGCCACGAGTGCAAATCTAACACCTACAAGCCTGCAAGATCCTGCAAGTGTTCGTAGAATCTCTTCATATGAAAAGAGAAGAACATCGTTGGAATCATTGGCAACCAATGCATGTTTGGAGATACGAAAAACAAATGCAGCCTCGCATCAAACGCAGTTTCGGTGCTTTCTGCCTGAAGGGATGCTCGAACACTCCATCCACTCTACGCCAGGCGAAGCGTAAAGCAAGACTCGATGTGGCAGTCAAAGGATCAGAATTGCGAAACCTTGGGCCAAAGTCCGAGTGGAAATTGACATGAACCCAAGTCGGAAGCTCCGGCTTAGCTTCGCCCCTGTCACCACACCTCCAAACGAAGCTCTCGTTGCCAAAAATGGAACTCAATCAGATCTAAACTCACAGAACACTCGCACAAGAAAAGCACCACCTCAAACCCATTTTCTCAACCCCCCATAGATAGAGAGGAAGAGACAGAGAGAGAGAGAGCCGGAGGGATAGAGAGTGACAAAGAAAAAAAGAAAGAAAGACAAAAAGACAAAAATAAAGAACGAGAAAGACAAAGAGCAAGAGACGCTGTGCTTTTTCTCCAGCCCGAGTCGAGTCGCTGCTTTGGCCGACTCTGCGAAGATGCGACGCTGTCGGTCTGGGACTCTTCGCTACAGGAGTCTGCAGTCTTCCGAGGGGCGAGGGCCCCTTGAAATACTCTCGACGTAAAGAACAGAGTGGTGCGTGCAAGGAAACTGATTTAGGCTAAACTATGCTCCGGGGTAAAGCGAATTCACGCGAATGTGATGGGATTTCCTACCCTCCCTCGTATTATCAAGCGAGCCCCACGCTTGACCCCGGAAGCAAACAATGAATATGTCGCCTGTGACAACAAATACCAGATTGAACCTGTAGATTGCGCTGCGGTGATCTCAGACTTGCGTGCCAAATGCTTCTTTCTGACTATGTCATATCTCTTTCTCTCTTCCAATATTGCCAAATGTGGACCTCACAAGCCCTTCTTGATCTCCATCTTCTGATGTGATCCGCTGATACCCTGGCGCCGAGAGCGGGGCCAGCTGGATTGCCTCATTTAACTGGCAATTGAACCAAAGCACCGCCAAAAGAAACCTTGAAGCAACTCTTAGCCTGCACTAAGCCGCCTGAAGCCTACCCCTTAGACATACCCCACCCTTAACCATCCTTGAGCCAGTGTAATCAAACACGAAAGCAACTTCGAACCCAGCTCCTTACAGTGTGACAACGCCACCTAAGTTCAGCAGGTTTAAACGGGCTGCAGCAGCAAGCCCGCTGAGACATGCTAGCTGCGATGACCACAAATCGCGTTCCTTGCCAACCTGGCTTGCAGGAACAAATCAATTGGTCCAACCACCTTCCGCAAAATGCTATGAACCTCGATACATCATCTTTCACTGATCCACCGACTCCGCTTCACACACACACACACGCTCAACACGCACACCCAACACCAAAACAAGAGCCGAACCGCGCCTCGCACACGTAGACCGGGAGATTCGCATCCTTGCCCACCGCGGCTTTGGACTCTGGCGCCACGATGCGGCGCTTCGCCTGGAAAGACTTCCGGTTGATGCAAAAGGTGTGCCTCGTTGAGAGGGGATCCATTGCTTTGGGGGAACACCCCTTGTAATAAAGCGCCAGGTGGCTCATTATCAGTCATTCGGCGTTTGTCAGCTCCACTCTCTGCGCTTGGTGGTACCTGTGGATGGAGCAGATTTTGTGCCATGTGCTGCATAACATGACCTGGAAACCTGAAAGCGGCGATTAGTTCTAGCAATCAACCGAAGTGTCAGAACTGGCACAATATGTGAGTTCCCCAGCTACGAAAGCCAAAACCCACTACCCGGCAGGCATCACATGAAATAGCGAGCCTGCTGGGCCGTACTTTACTTCATCACCTGTATGGACAATGGGAACATGGCTTCCCTTTGGCCGAAAAATGGGGGATCCCCTCTAAAAGATGAACCACGTCATGGGCGTGGATCCTCCAAACATAAGAGCCTAAGAACGCATACCAAACATACGGAGCTGTCTTTTTAGCAGACACTTTGGGAGTGACAGGTACCCATACGAATTGATGAGAACCCCACACGAAATGGCTGCGGTGGACACCGCCCGTGTCCGCCTCCGCCTCGCTGGCTGAGCGCTGCGCCAGGCTGGCCAGCAGCTCGGCCTCCAGCCCAAAGCAAAGCCCACTTCAAACACGACCCAACGCGCAAAACACAATCAAGAAACCAAACTAATCCAATCAACGAACCAAACCAAACTAAACCAAAAGAAACTAAACCAGAAGAAACCAAGCTCTACCAAATCAGACCAAACTAAACCAAATCAACCCAAGAAAGCAACCAGACCCAACCAAATCCGACCAAACCTAGGCAAAACCAACCTACGGACAAACCAACGAGTTCGACCCGAATGCTCATGCTCAGCGTACCAGGCAAAACCAACCTACCGACAAACCAACCAGCGAGATGAGTGCAGGGCTGATGCTTACCGCAAAGCACTCAACCCCCTGTCCGTCCAAGGTCTGTTAAGGGAGGAGGGTTGATTGGTGGGGCATGTACGTATCGTGTCAGTGCACTAACAGAAGCCTCATCCCAAAAAAGTCCCAAGCCATACTGATTGGGGAGGATGGCCTTTGTTGTATCAGCGGGCCTGCAATTAACGAAACGACACACATCAAGTCTCATTGATCCCAGAGCCGAAAACCGTGGAACACCGTTTAAGAGTGGATGTCAGCTGGCCCCTGATTGAAGCACACTGAGTTCGATGATTCTCACGATACTTGACAGCCGGCTGCACGTGCTGCGATGTCTGACGCGCACATGCCGTTCACGTGGAAATAAGCAGCAAACAACAACATTTACCAAGATGTGGTTTGGTCGACACTAAATGTGGTGGCTAAGCAGCAACCTGTTTACCCAAATGTGGTGATGGTCCTTGGAGAAACCCTGCCAGATTCTTTCGTTTTGAAAGCGACGGGCTGATTCAATCCACCGGGCTTCCCGGCCTCAGCACCGGCAGCCTGAGTCGGGATTTAGCTTCCAAGCAAATCACACCGTTCAGAGGCCCGCTCTTGTGGTCATTCAACTCCCTCCCCGATCCGGACCCGGTCTCCTGAGTTGCGACATTGAGAGCTGACACTTTGGGCTTCTGCTTGGAAACCTCAATTTGAGGAGAATTCTTCAAGGCATCATCCTCCAGCATGTGTCAGCCGTAGTTGGACCGCTTCTAGCATTTGCTTCACCTCAAAAACCCGTATTTCAGGCCTCGAAGGGCTCCAGCAAGGCGCCGCAAAGCGCAGGATCCATGCCTGGGGGTGTCGTTTGGAAAGGAGTTGGACCTCCCAAAGTGAGTGGGGAACTGTCCTCTTGGTGTCCCTTTAAACAGACAAGAAAGGGCTACCTTCAAGAGAAGACACACCCGTTGCTAGGCAGCCAAATGTTAGATTGTCCATTTGTTCGTGGACTGGAAGCACAGGGAAGGAGGACATAGTTCCGGACAGGCTCTAGCATAGAACTGCAAAAGAAAATAAAGCAGCCAGGGCAAACAAAGCAAAGATAATGAACATCCGCACACAACACGAAAGGAAGCGACGAAAGCACAGCACCATAAGACTTGCTGGTGAATGATGTGTGCTAGGTCAGCGCCCTGAGGACTGAAGGATCACACTGCGCAGACAGGTCTTCTGGGATGTTGCAGCATGCATTGATTCCAAATGCTGAGATGAGGCAATGATTCTGGGATCCTATGCAATTTCTGCAATTGGTTGACTTACACCCTCTGTGAGGTCGCTTCCTATGGCAATTGCTTGCGTGACCATAACCCGACATGGCCAAACAATGGGTGCATTTGGCGCCAGCTGGCACTCTCTCTGCCCGACCGGTCGAACGGGTCTGAACCACGCGTCGCCAGAGGCAGGCTGCGCGCCTGAGACGTCCTCGAGCGCCAGGAGGTCCCCGGCCTCGGCTTCCGATAGGCAATAGAACCTGACTGGGTCCTGGGGGACTAGTTTCCTCAAGGGACCCTTTGTGAGGTAGTGGAGGGGGGTAGATTCAACCCCTCAAAAATGCCGAAGACTTCAATCGACATTGCGACGCGCTCGGGGGTTTTGCTGCCTTTTAACTGAAAAAATCCGACATCCTGCACGCTGCACCCGTGCCATTCTCGCCTCCACACCGCCCGCCAGCAGCTTCTTCACCAGCTCCGTGACAACGGCCACATCTCGTGGCCCTGCCTGCGGACGGCGGCGTCGCGGCGTCGGGCGCACCAGAGCCAGGAGACTGCTTGAAAGTCCGTTTGCTGCGCGCCAAAAATGGAGGTTAATGATAGGTCCGTGTTTGGTCTTCTCAAGCAAATCGCCAAGTCACATTTATGAAAGCAAAGAAATGAAAGACTCGCCTTGTTGGGAGCATGATTGCACGTACTACACCTGGATCAGCTTTGGGCAACCCAAGAGGCCAAATGTTCGGCAGTGGACAACAGAGTGTGCATGTGTGGATCCCTGGTGTGCATGTGTGGATACCTGGCAACTGGCGGAGCAAACGTTCAAACCCGCCTCATGATTTGGGGTGTATTCCGCAAACCGGCAAAGCTTGATGACCCCTGAAAACCTGTGGCCTTGCACTGATAAGTGCAAATCAGCAGCCTTTTGGGCGAAGCACAGACACAGCCAAACGCTTCATGCTGCAAAACGTCGACATCTCATCTCAGCAACTCAAGCGTCGCCCTTCTATGGAACAACTGTCAGCAACCTCGCGGTGGCGGTGACCCTTCATATTGATAGGTATATAAACATGAAGTTCGGTCAGATTATCCCGTAGTCCATCGTCCTTCCGGAACGGACGTAGGGGGACTTGCTAAACTTCCACGTAAAACCTGGAACGCACCAATGTTCCCGTGTGCTTTGTGGGAACCACATATGTTTGACTGTGGCTCGCATGTACATATATTAGTATGGGAGTGTCTCAAAATCAGATTTGTCCTCGACCCTTTTGACGTGCCAATCAGACAGCTGCAGCTGCAACCCTGCCGGCATGTAAGTTGTCAGCATCTACACTCTGCGTCCTGTTTGGTGGACTTCCGCGGCATTCAACTCGGCTGTTGTGCAAGGGGGGGGTTTGGAGAGCAGTTTCCACCCAAACGCACAGCCAAGCAGACAGCCAGCCAGCCAGCCAGCCGGCCATCTGTATAGATGCCTAAAATAAGCGCGATTTGTGTGCTAATCAATAGAACTTAGACAGGGTTGCTCTGATCTTTCGTTCAGCTCCACTTTGAACTGCGCACCAACGCTGCACCATGCCTGTCGTGAAGCTGGTTTATCTTCAAGGCCCCTCCTTGCCGGCACAGCCTCTTTAGAATTGCTGGTAGCAGCCAACGAGTAGATGGCATGCGACCATTCAAAATTCAAGCCATCTCACAAAGGCCCTCACCTGGCAACATTCCCGGGTCGCAGCCGAAACATGCTAAAAAAAAGAAGGTGTGCTAAACCATGCAAGGAATTACAAGGCGTGCACATCAATTCCTAAATTTGAAGGCCTTACTGACCTCTGTGTACACTATGTTTGGCAACCCCATGTCACAAGCTGGAACTCGGGCTGGCTTGTTGGCCAAGTTGTGGAAAATCACCCTTTCTGTGATACAAACATGGCCTGTCCTATTAGGCCTATGACGAGTGTCAAGTGAAACCCTCATTCACAAGAGCTTCCCTTGTATATCATAGACCGGGCCAAGAATCCGCTTTCCCAGAAATGATTTGGGGCTCACCAGACCAACAAACCTCGTTTTTGGCGGGAAGTGCCTTGCACAAATTCAGGCGCTGCTTCTGCTCCTGCTGGGCGAAGCTGGCGGCCCACCTAAAGCCGAGTGACGGCAGAACAAAAATTGGAACCCAATGGGGTCGTGGGGAAACCGCCAAAAAGAAAGGTAGCAAACCACCAAAACGGAACGAACAACTGGGATCCGAAGGAACTAAAGAAAGGGAGTGGTAAACCACGTCATAAAACCAAGTCATGTTGGAGAAACTACGAAGCAAGACTGCAAACACAGAACCCTCATGTCTTTTAGTAACGCAGTTCTATCTGGAGATTAGCCAACTTTGGCTGGTCTGAAGGAGCCGTGTCTCTGCAAGTGCTGCCACTGCTTCCGTACAGAGACAGGATGGGGCAGTGCGATTGTTCGACACCACGTGTTTCGTTTCAGCATTCTCTTGACCCACACCTCGTAATCGATTGGGAACCCAACTCGCAACGCATTTGCAGGGGAACCATGCACAGGTTGAAGATTACGTGCCTCTCCCACATGATCTGCATTGGGCTCCACCCCAGCCTTGCTGCAATCAGGCTTGCTAAAAACGGGGTAGTTGCCCCTGGTGCTGGAAAGGTTACCAATTGTTCCAGGTGAATTTTGCCAGGGCCAGGGAGCACCCTGAAAAACTGCAAACCATAACCATCGTCCACCATCTTTCGTGCAGGCTTCGTGGATCCCATCTCACCAAGAAAACACCATGAATCTTCCATCCACTAATTATGGCACTTTGTTCAGGCGCAATCAGTCACCGAACAGGTCCCAAAAGGGTGCGTGTGTGTGTGTGTGTCAAAAAAAGAACACCTTCCAAACTGGTGGTTGTCCTTTTCCCCTTACACCAACCACAAAAGGGTACCCTCCACAAAAACACACACACACACACACACACACACACACACACACACACACACACACACACACACACACACACACACACACACACACACACACACACACACACACACACACAACCAACAGCGGTTTTCAACTTCTGTTTTCAACTCTTCCTCTTTGTGCCTGGTCGCTCCCCTCAGCTGCCGGCTCGGGGCGGGCCAGCAGAACTACAGAAGCTTCCCACACCTGGCGCAGGTCCGCAGGTGATGTGGGGAGCGCCCTCCTACCAAATATGTGAAAGATAGCACAGTTCCCTTTGAGTCAGTCGGGGTTGACTAAACCAACATCTAGTTTCACCAAGTGCAAGTGTTGGGCGATATTAAATTACTATTGTTGATTGCAAGTGCTCCATCCCCATTTCAACCCAAGGTGGACTTGGCTGCTGCTTCAACGGTAGCAGGCTCGAGCTTCGATCATGGCTCAAACTCGAGTATCACCCGAAGACTCTTTGGTATCTGCATTGGAAGGCTCAGGATGTGCATGGAAAAAATCCGGCCTAAATATATATCCTGTTGATGACGTTACGGGGCTCTGGCAGTTCACAGTTCGACTGCCCGAGGGCCCAGACCCGTTTTGAGAGCACAGGCCACAAGGTCTGAAACCCAACCGCTGGCCACGAGCCACAACCACACCCCTGTCGCAGAACAAGCTTCCGATGTGCAGAAAACAGCACAAAAGGCCAGGCCCTATGCAGGTGAAGGTTGGGCGGCTTGAGTCCACAGTCTTATCTGCAACGCATTACCTGTTGTTTCGGATGTTGCAAATGTGTTGTGGGCTGGTGATGTGTCTTTGTGATGTTTGGTATGGTGCAGCTTCTTGACAGCAGCCCCGTGCTTGCCAAAAGGTTGCTGACTTTGCTTGTTTGTGCGCGTGTCTGACAGGCCCATGAGGGCAGAATGGCCTGCCGTGCGTAGTTCAATTGGTTGCGCACCATCGCTGCTCTTGGCTTGCAATGGCGTAAAGTCACAATTTGTCTTTACGGGCCAGTTGAGTGCCTATCGGTGCGCGTCAGGCCGGGCGTCGGACGGAAACGCGTCGGGAAGCAACTAGGCAAACCGAGGGCCCGCAAGGGCCCGAGCGTCGGAAAGGCGTCGGAAAGCAGTCGCAAAGCTGATGGAGAACCGCGGAATGCCAGCATGAGTGAGAACGCCGTCGGAAAGCAAATGTCGGAAAGCCGTCCGAGAGATTTGTTTTGCTAGGCTTAGGGCACGTGCTCACTTTTGCTTTATGTCCGATTTGTCCGTGGAAACTGAATCTTCTGTTTGGCAGCCAGGCCTGAGTGCGGGCCAATGGTCCGTGGTTGAATGATAGGGTTTGCAGCCCCAGGGCACCCGGGGCCCTTGCTACGAGGAGTTGTGTTTCTATGTCCCCTCGCCATTCTGTCTTTGAGGGCCCGATGCCAAACGACGCCCCAAAAAGAGTTGGGATCCTTAGGGCAATCTTATAAACTGTTCTTGATCTGGAACAAGCATGCCAGGTGTTCGTCGCATTTTTGTTTTGCCTCATGTCAACCTCGGGTATCCAACAGATCTCGATTGGGTGAGCGCCAAGTAAATATTTTAATTGTTTAGGCAATTATTGGGTACTGTCTCCTCAAGGAAAGAAGTAAAGTATCGAATATTGATTTATCGCACCATGCTGCCACAACTGACCCCCCTTCTCAGGCACTCCTCCGCTTCTTTTGCAGTTGGAGCAGAAAAACCGGTACAGCATTGCACTGCTCTCAGTTTTGCTTGCGTCCGTCAGTATTGTAAGCAACTTTAGAGTAATTCATTCTAGCAAAGCCAGCGGACCTGTCCGAACCCCTGCTGCTCTGCTCTGCCACTTGACCGATTCGTTCAATGCCACCATGTGTCCAAAACATTATTGAAGGCCCCCAGAAATCTTCGGCCTCTATTTGAAGTATACTCCTAGAACCCACCATAAGAGGGGGGTGCGAGCAACTGGATTCATACATAATTTCTTTACGACACATTCAAGCAGTCCCATTCCCAGCATGCCGAATCGTAGACGAGCATGATTGTCCGTTACGCCGCGTACCGGCCTGCTTGGCGAAGGACGCCTTCTCCGCGACGCGCAAAAGGAAGGGCCTTCGGCCCGCTCGGCGCGCTCGTGGCCCGTGTCGCTTGGATGCAAGTGCATCGTTCGGTCATGTTGCACCCTCTTTACTGTGTGGACCCCACACCCAAACCGCGAATCTATCCGTCGAGCACGTCCTCTGTCTCATCCTTGTTTATGATAGGAGACGAACAACTTTTCCTGAGATTGTCCTGGGGGGCTGGGGCATTGGACCTGGCTGTCTTGCTTAGGGGGAACATTTCAGTCAACGCGTGATTGCTGTTGCACTTGAAGGGCTGCTGCCTCTGCTCAAGGCAAGCTTGCGCTGGGAGAGTGTTGACAGTTGCACCAGTCCCGCAAACAGTTGGGGGGCACCAAACAAGGCGCCCCGGTTGACATTATCAATAGAGATTCCAGCATGGCCGGTCACGGTTGAAGCGAGTCATCACAACCAGCAAAGGTCTGGATTCTCTGGGCGATGATGGTCTGCACCATTTCGTGCGAGAGTGCGTTCGTTTCAGGGGCTCACCGAATTTCCCTCCAAAAAGTGCAACTTGCTGGTGGGTTCCTTTGAAACTGCCACTTTTGGAGGTTTCCGGAAAGGGACGTGGAGGGAGCCCTGTTTGCCTGAGTTGCGTTTTCACGAATGCTTTCTTGGGAGTTCGGCTCAGCCGCCTTCGGCCTACCGGCTGCAGCATGACCCATACCTTCAGGCTGAGACTGGATTTGTTTTTCCTTGAATCTCCTCTTTTCAACCAAAACCACAAGGAAAGCTCAGCTTTGGAAATGATCTCAGTGTTCTTCCAGGGTTTCCCAATTAATGCACGGTCAATATCGCCTATCGGATTTCTATTGTGTCATCCATTCAGCATGTAAGGGCAATCTGCAACAAGGGTGTGCTGCAGTACACAGGACATTCCTTCTGGGATAGCATCCAATACTTCCATCTCTTCGCACACTTTGCTCACCAAGGCTTTCATGGAGGTTCGACCCCCTTGACTTGCCTTTCGGGCTTGCACCCAATTTGTTGGCGTCCCTCCTAGACGCGATCGCTCGGGTGGGGAGTGGAGTGGGGGCCAACGAACTTCGCTGACTCAGGGCGCCGAGCCAGAATTCCAGGTCCGGCGGCACCTGGCAAAAGAGACGGGCGAATTCAACATGGCCATCTCTAATCAGATGTTCCTCAGTGGGAGAGGGCACCCGCATCTGGCAGGATTTAAGCATGAACTTTGAAGGACTCGGGGCAAGGGAAGACCGGCTACAGGTGAGACATGGCCAAATTCTGGAAGGCTGCTGTCAGGTGCGAGGTGGCATCCGAAGGCTCTCAAGGCTCGAATCCAATTCAGATACTCCACAGGGAGCTCTGACGCTTGGCGCTGCAAATTTCGGAAGCTCACACACGGCTGTGGCAGACAAAGTGAACCCCAGACCTCCAGCCGCCTGCATTGGGCATGGGAAAGGCACCTCTTTTCTGGTTGAATTGAGAAGGAAACCTTCTCCAAACAAGTCAAGGAGCGCCTCTGCAGGTCTGGGTAACGGATTGATTGTTCACTTCGCGCGCGACATAACACGCGCGGGGACGGCTGTCTGACAGGCTCACCCATTCAAAGGGCCTCTGCCAGCATCTCCGGAGACTTTTTGACCTGCAAGCCACGCGCCGAGACGCGGATGTCATGGACCATTGATTTTGAATTGACTGTTTGAGAGAAGGAGCAGCTAATCGAGTGTTCTACCGTTCTTTCAATGACGGTGGTTGTGGAGTGATTCACCGTCCTCTATTAGCCCCTCGTTACAGGGGCTTTTGAACCACCTCTTGGTGAGAACAAATGAGGCTGGGTCCCATGAGGTATAAAGATTGATTCATGAGTTGGAGATCAATGACAAAGGCTGCTGCCAGCCAAATGTATGGCAATAATATGTGCATGCATTCAGAAATGTAGCCTCGGTTCATGAACCCATTCAAGAGATTATGTTCATCCTCGATCGACTGACTAGGATTGAATCTGGCAATCGGTTGACTCAAAGGTGTCCTCATCGATTTCGCGGGTGCTCGAATGAGTACGGTCTTAAGGGCTCCTCCAAATGTGTGCTTTGCTGGTTCAAATTTGATATCCTTGCAAGCAACGGCTCAAAGGGGTTCGAACATGTACGGCTGGCTAGTTTCATCCCCTTAGTGAGTGGAGGTTTGATGTGTTCAGCATCACCCAAGGAGCCCCTGCAAGATTAGAAGGTTCAGCAACACTTCGCATCCGGAATTCGGAAAGCCAGCAACATCCGCAGGTTGAGCCAAACATAACGACAACAAAGGGTTGGGAGAGTGTTGCACATGGGCACAGGGGTCACCCAGCAGTATGTCATGTGAGCCAAGTCTTTGCTGCAGGGCCTTTAGGGCTTGGGGCTAGCGTCAATCTTGGCTTCATGGCACAAGCCTAGAAAAGCAAACCCATACCCCCATCAATCTATCAATCTGACATGAGTGGCGCATGTGGCTGTGTGTCCGTGATCACGACAACTGAATGAATTATCACTAGTTGTCCTTTACTCCGGCAGCTCCTGAAGCACTCACTGAAACGGCTGTGAGTCAAGAATAGGCACCCAAAATGGAGCCCGGGTAAATGGAACCACGGACTCACATCTGCGGTTCGATTCCTGGTGGTTTCATTTGACCCATGCCCAAATCTGGCGCTGACACGATGCGGCGTGGCCAAGCGCCGACGTTTGCCGTGCGCATGTCGTGTCGGGCGCTTGGCTGGGCGGCATTGAGAAAACGAAAGCACCTGACCCTCGGATCGGCAAAAGGGCGTGTCCTTCTTGAGGGTAGCCTTTCTGGGGTTGCGTTACAGGGCAGCCAAACGTTGGGCCCCTGTTTTCTTGGGTGCTGTAGATCCCCCAGCAAAAAGTTTGACTGTTTGCTGGCTCAAAGGAAATATCAGGGGGAATCCAAAAAGCTAACATCCAAGGATCCAACCCAATAGTGGTGGAGTTTTCGGACACACCTACATGTGCAGTCTTAGAGCAGCTCGATTTGGAGAGGCACCTGAATATGCCCTCCTCTTTAACTACTGAATCATTCAAGGGGAGGCAAATGATTCGTTGCCTTCTTAGTCGCGTGCCTATAAGCAATACGTACATATTCAACTTCGGGAAGAAACCACACAACAACTCGGGGGACGCTGAACCAAGGGATGCACGGGGCTTCCTCTTATCACTCCTTACGCTCTATTCGCGACCTGCTCTGAAACAGGGGTGCATGGCAATCATTGTTTGGGAGACCCCATAAAGGTGGCACACAATACCCTTGAGCACAGAGTGACGCCCAACCCGCCTCTGCCAACCCGCGCTTCAGCTTGGTCAGCACGCCACCAGACCTGGGGCCGATCCCAAGTGGTTGGATACTTCCTTGGGTTTAGATGGCAATGCAAAGAAATCTCTTGGGCCAATCAATCCAATAATAAGGATCACTGAGATGGGACACAAATCGTGCAAACCATGTTTCTCTTCTCCAGGGAGTCGAGGGGCTTTGGAGGCCATTGCCTGCATGTTCTTGGCCTGTGTGGTCCAGCTGAAGTCTCAAGCGTGCTTCGTAAAAGCTCCCTAACGCAAGGTGTGTGTGTACCTTACCTTCTCAGATAGCCAAGTTTCAGGAGGCCAGCGGCTAATTTTGAACCTCTGGGAGCTTTCCTCCAAAGGATCCCTAGTCGTTAGACAAAGATGCCGACAGGCTCTTGGCCCTCTAAGGGTCAACATACCTGACCGGCAAACATAGAGCGCACCCTCAGAACATGACTTGGACATCCAGCATAAGTACTGTGACACCTATCAGGGGATTGCATGAACCTAACATGCGGCAGCTTCTTAGGCTCAGGGTCGATCTTTCATCCAGTAAGCACGAACCGAATCCATCCAGGGTTTGTTGGGCCAGTGATGCCCTGCAGTTTGTCCATTGCTGTCAGCTCCGCTTGCTCCTGAGAATGTTTCTTGCTTTGAGAACAGATTGCTTGCTTCTCAGTGAAGCCGAGAAGCTGCAAAGGCGAAATGCAGAGGCATGCACAAAACTTTGACCCAGTAGTTGAAATTGCGCGTGTTCACTTGGACTCTCAAGTGACTACAAAGGTTCTGTGCTCTCCTTCCGATCATCCAGTGCACCCACCACCCCCACTACCAACAACAAGTGTCATAACTCCACCTTGCCTTTTGATAATGCTTGAAGCTTGATGATATAATATTGATTGCGCACTTGCAGTGAATGGAATTCGAACATTCGCGGCCAGTGTAGCAAAAATTCCAGTGATTGGTGACTTGGCAAACGCACAGCTTGAAAAGCCACCAAAGATGTTTTTGACCCTTCCTTCGTCGCTGTGCCGTCCACGGCACGCTGATGCGAAGCCGCGCTCGTCTTCCAAGGCCACCGTCGCAGCCTGCGGAGAACGCGGGAGCAATGGGGTGCAACAAGGCCAAGGGGTCGGGCAAAACGTCCGACAGGCAGAGGACATTGAAGGGGAAGACCCTTCTGCAAGGGTTCACTACATATAAAAACAAAGTGTCTTGGAATGACCCATCGGCTAGACTCTTGCGAAGCAATGATTAACAATTGGCTAGCCAAGCCATTAATCATAGAAAGTGTTTACCAAGCATTGAAATCTGGAGTTGCACATTGCTCACGCTTGCCAAGGATTGTCGCAATCAACCCGTGATCAAGGTTGACAAATGCGGTTTGGTCCTGGGATGGGAAGCCGAAGTCTAGGAACAAATCAAATGCGCCAAGCGAAAGGGACGTTCATTCCAAAGAGGACATGAGCCATGATAATCTTGAAAGCGTGCGACCGAGAATAATTTCAAAAGCCTCGATTCTGCCGTATGTTATGATGCCCCAACCATCCACGCCTAAATCCCGCAGCCTGTACTCCTTCCGCACTTGTCGTGTTTTGTCCCCAGGCACGCCGTAACTTGGACAATCAACTTGCTCCAGCACTTTGACGGCGTCTCTCAATCTCACATATGTATCTACGGGTGTGTCTTATTTTCTGGGGGGGACCCCCCCCCAAAAAAAAAGCATGGTGTTTTTCCTTTTGGCCGCCCTTCAAAAAACCAACCAAAAGAGGCTTCCCCAAAAAAAGGACACACCCATACTAAAAAACTGAGATTGTTTCCGAGAACAGCAGACCCCCAAATGGTTGGCCTGCCTTTTCCCTTCACACCATGTAGGAGACCCCGATTTAGGCCAGCCCCACCTCTATACATGTTCGACTAAAGGACAACATTAATGGGGTATCGGGTGTTGACGGTTCCCCTAGCGTTTGCAGATTGAGGGGTGTCGCAGTTCAATGGTCCCTGATCGGTTTCTATGGGAATACAGTCGGTCATTGACACACGCACACACACACACACATGTTTACAGATCATAACTTCTATACAATAATCCGCATAGGGTATGAGTTCCATTTGGGGACTGCTGGGTGGACATCGGTTGTCCCCAAGTCCGACCCGCAAAAGCGGTTTTTGCCCTTCCCAAAGAACCCTAAGTGTACCCAAGTATGGCACTGCAGCCCCCGCTTAGGGGAAAGTAGTCCGACAGGCCATGGGTCAAAATCCCGTACCCCCAGTGAATATCCCAATCCCCACTCAAAATAGGTTCCAAAATGGGTGGCGCACCTACCAACCAAAATGGGATCCCACAGCCAACACTCGCACAAGTCCCGCGTCTTTTCGCGGGGCGCTCTCTCGCCCGGGACGGCTGTCTTGCGCGCCTCCTGCAGCGCCTCCGTCAGCTTGGCCATGGCGACTTCTTGGCTTCTGCTCCGACAGCTTGGGACGTCGGGCCCAGATATTTAGTACATGCTCGCACATGTGTCTGCATATGTCAACTCATTCACATACGTGCATACATATGTGTACATATATATATATATACATACATACATAAACAATGTATACAATATATATATATATATACAATATTGTTCGTGCATGTTTGCTTAAACGCATAGAGGAACGCCGAAAGTTGCTTCGTGTTCAGACGGAGGCTACTACCCGTTTTAGGATAGCTGTTGCCTCAAGATGTATCTAGCACATGTGGGGCGGCCCCCATGATCTGTTCGTGCACCCGCTGTTCGGCAACATGCATCTAGCTTTGTAATTGGTTTTTATTGTTTGGGTTTTTAGGTCTCGGCCCAAATCCTACCAGATGGTGGACCTGTGTCAGCTGATGTTTGGGAGCTCCTTTGACTTACGCCATGGAAATCGCCATGTTTCGTTTCCCTCCTCTCGCTGGATGGTGCTGCATTGGGATCGTCATTGCTCACGGATGGTGCTTTTTCCTTGGGTTCGTGTCTATACAGCTCTCTGTCCTGGTCAGAGACTTCGTCTCCAAGGTCCAGTTGAACAGTGATTCGCTGCAGCTCTGGTGGATTTTCGCTGCATCGGCGCGGAAGCACTCGTCTTCTCACTTGCGTGTGGAACTCCTTGACGAAGCTGGGAGCATCAGGTCGTGGAGCCCTACTCATTGCTGGCGACATCGTGGCAACAACGGGGTGGCGCTTCACACAGACTCTGCGCAACTCGATTGTGGCTACGGCAGCACTTTCGCTGCCGGCAACTTCAACTACAAGGCACAACCATGGAACGCAAGCGCAAGCTTGCCGCACTTAGGCATGAGGCCACCACGGCTTCCGACCGATAGGTTCTGTTCTAGTTCTGCCCTTGGCTCCTTCCTGGACCGTACAATTGGCAGCATCCTCGCGGCCTACACCAGACCTTGAGCCCCCGGGTGCACCTCCGTGCTTTTCCCACTTTTTACATTTCAGGGTAGCAAAGCGCTTGGTCCCTGCCTACGCACAGCTTGGCAGGACTTGGAATGACTTGTTTTTGAGCAACATGCTCTGTGTGCATCTGTCTACAACTATGACTGATGTCGTTAATGTTGGTGCAGCGATATGCTGCAATTCTGTCTGTCACAGACATGTAACTTAGTTTGGACATCTCGGGCCCACGCCTGTGGAATGCTTCCGAAGGCGGATGGGTCTACACCCATCCCCCCTCGTTGCTGCACAACGCAGCTGGACTCGAACAGTGCTGCGCCGCACCGCTCACGCTGTGCGCGCACCACTCAGAAGCCGTCCGCGCTATTGGTTGGGTTTTGCACAGATCTTCTGACCTTTTGGCTTTCCAGTGCTTCGTTTTTAGCATGACTCTCCTGTTTGTTTTCTGTTTCAAGTAGTCATAAACTATGACCAATGTGTCAGCACATGCACGAAGTTGGCATTCACAACAATCCAGTAGTTCGTGCAATGACTCTCATGCATCCTCATGCCCCACCAGCACAGCAACGGCAAGCATGTGCCAATTGTTGATTGCTGGAATGCTGGGCTGAGGGCTGAGAGTACAAAACAAAAACATGCACCCACACAACGTAATTATCATCGACTTCTTACATAAGCTTGCCCAACTTCTCTGCATATGATACATTCACACTCAAGGCTTGTTGGCTCAAGCCACGGATTTTGGCAAGGTCAATGCGTGGCATGGATGGCTCCAAGCGGCGTACAATGTGTGCCCTGTAGCCGCAAGAAGAACATTCAACGGATTGTTCTGCTGAGTGTTCAATCGCAAGCATGCGTGGCACCACTCAGAACCGGTTGACCACTGGTTCTGCCAGGTGCCGCAACAGTTTATATGGGCCTCACTATTATCCGCATTAAACCAGGTAATAACCCCAAGCCGGGCTTACCTCCAAGCAATCCCGAACCAAGCTTCTGCCTGAATTATGCCAGCATGTGGCGATCTGAATCTGAGAGGGCTACTAGAAAAAAAAAGATTTAAGCTTTGATTTTGCATCGCTCCGATTAATCACCCAAATTGATACCGCGACACGGGCCCACAATGCTGCTGTCCATCTTCTTGCTCTAGAACAACCATCGACAGATTGTCCATCTGCAGTGCGTCATGTGGAAAGGCCTAATATAAATCAGCCAAAAGTGAGTGCCGCCAATGTCTCAGTCTCAGCCTGAATACCCTCTCAAAGCTAGCTTCAAAGAAAAACGGCCAGGCTTTGCAGTTTGCCCTGTCGCCGGCAGAAACTTGCAACTCAGATCCGGTTTGCCTGATGCCATGTTCCAACATTCCACGGATCTGTTTCGAGAGAGATATTTGAAGCTTGACATGCCACCTGCTGCGGAAAATGCCAAGACTCATGGCTCTCACACATGGTTTTCCTTCTCCGCCAAAGGGGTCCTTCAATGCGTCGCATCGCTTGCACGAATTAAGCCAGCGCATGCCGCCGCATCGCGCTGCGGCAAGTGCTGTAATTAAACAACTGAAGCTCCAAAGGTGGCACTTGTGAACACTTAAATGCACCCATGAGGGCTAGGCATACACATTATCATAGCGGGTTCGTTGATGACGTGCACTTTGCATGGACGGAAGTGGGCTCCTTTAAAACACGCGGAATTTCTCGACCTCGTGGCTGCCTATTCGTGACTGCAAGAAAAGGATAACAATTTTCATGTTGGCTGAGTATGTCAATTCCGCGCTTAACCGCTGGTCCAGTCGAGTTGCCATAGCTTGCAACTTAAGCCAAAAACATCAGCTAAGAAACAATAGCCGGTTGATTTCTCTTGACATGGCTAGCCGACGAAAACAGACCCATCTGCCAAAGAAAGACACAGAGCTTGATGCTTGAATAGCTGGATAAAACTGAAAGCTCCTGGCCCCCCAAACTCTCGCATGTTTGAAGAAAACGTATGCATCGAACAAGGAGCTGAGGTCAATTCCGTATTCCTTTCTGGTGGCAATCCCCCAAATGAGAATGTTGGAGGCCATTGAGCAGTGCATACTCCAATGTAGATTGACTCTGCATGACCTACGTGATCAGCAGATTGGAACATATCAGGCACCGATCGACCCTCCCAGCAATACTTTGCTCGCAAGTGCACCTCTGGCCATGCCCCGCCACAAGCGCACCACAAACAGCATCTCCAAGCCCACAATTGCAAACCAGCTGGAAGTCTTCCTAGGCCCTCCAGTAGAGAGGTTAGAATAAGGGTACCCTGTTTTTCTGTCGTCTATTTTAGGCGGGGAGCCCTCCCCCAAAAAAGGGTAAAAGGGCACTACTGGGGGACCTAGATTCCGCCACAAGCATGGCCAATACGGGGAAGTGAGGAACACATGAGTCGGCTCGCTTGACAAAATGACTCAGCCCAATCATGCACTTCGTCGTTCTTGTACCAAGATGATTAGTGCTGGAACAGCGACAACTATGATGGGAACCTTAGATCGGGAAATTCTTGGTTGCTTGCGACCGGTCGGAGTTGTTTCCGTTGGGATTCACTATGTTGGGCACAAACAAAATGGAAATCCGGGTCCCCAGAACGAGCGAAGGCTGCAAATGATACCTTTTGCAGCCAAACTTGTGGGTGTCTGCATAAAAATGGCAGGCAGTAGTCCATATTTCTCAACAGCATGCGGAGCTTTCTGTTCACAGTCAGGGGTTCACTTTGTCCTCGCCCCGAGACAAGTGCGCAGAAGCCCAGGAAAATAGGAGGGCCTACAGCTCGGCTTCCATGCGAAGCTGCGCAAGCTTGGACGCCGGGCGCGGCTTAGGCGAGCATCGAGCTTGTGGGCTGCGGTCGCTTCAGGCGCCGGCCTCACTGTAGCGGTAAGCCACCGCGCCGTCCACCTGGAAACGGGAAACCAGCCTCTCAACTGAAGAACTGGATGCCAAGGGGGTCCCAAAGTCATCATATCCATCCATCCGTTGGTTTCCCGGCAACCAACTTTTACACCTGCGCGCACCCAAAGACCCAGGGATGCCAAGCCCTGAATTCCATAAGCTGTTCAGAATATCGATGTATCGGAACATGACCTCCAGGGAAAGAATCACCCTGGCCGATTGCAGGCTGAGCTCACGACTGCCCTCAAAAAGTTCAGCAATCAAACGGGTATGGGTCAAAATCAAACCACCAGAAAACCGCAGGTTGTAGTCCATGCTTCCATTTACCAGGGTTCCATTTTGGGTACCTATTTTTGACCCACAGCCAAATGTCAATTTTTATCTAAAATGAAGGTTGTGCGGCGTGCCGAATCCTTCCACAGTCAGGAACCCCATCCCCATCAAGTTGGTAAGTCGAACCTGGCCCTACACCTTTGGCCGCTACCCCGATGGGTAGCCAATCAAAGCCCATTCCGCAATTCAAGTCCAAACAGAAGTTTGTTTTTGACCGGTGCCCAGGATGGGATTTTGAGCCATAGCACGGGGAGTGGGCTTCAAACTAGGTGTGTCGTGTCTATGCGGGGGACGAGTGTTCATTCAAGATGGCGGGGGGGGGGGAGGGTTTTTCCGCACACTTTGGGGGCCTGATGCAGGAAAGGAATCATCGACCAGTGCAACGACGCCCCCCCTTGGCCACTCTTTCTCAAGCCACGGCAGCGTTGTGACAGCCCAGCTTTCCAACCCCCACACCAAACACCGTTCATGAATCCCGGACCCTGCAAGAATGAAACAAAATCGGAACCCTCCATGAAACAGGCCCCAATCCAGCCCTTATCGCCTATCTGGGCGGCTACCCCATAGCTTTCAGCTGGGGAAAAAAACAACTCCACTGCACTTGAGTCACAATCAAAACCCGGCGTTAAAATGGTCTACCCAGAAGCATGTGAAGAATCAAGAAGGCGGATATCCGCAGCTATTTATGGCTGGGATTGTCCCTTACTTTCACTTACCCGGGTTTTGAGCACTTGGCTCACTTGTGGAACTGGTTCCAACTCGGCGTTTCCGGCCGATCCTGGTGGATCTTCGTGGTGAAGGACCGTAGCT